ATTAATTTGTTTCAGTATCTGTGCCTAATATGCAGTTATATGTATACTAGGTTATGATTTATTATAAAACTAAATCGTTGATTTCACAACACCAAATTTATTTTCGGAAATAATGCACTGCACATGCGTAGTACGCATCAGTAATTCAGCAAGCATATGCATTATTTTGTAGTTCATTATTGCGCGCACCAAAAACAGTGTATTGCCGTGAGTCATCAACTAAAGTGTGTATAAGAACATATAATTTTTCCGTCATCGATACAATGATTCGGGGTAATATAATTACAATGATCCGCGCGCTTTAAGTACGCCAATCCCCCGTCGAAGCCTGTTCGTGTCTGAGTAAAACATGCGACATAATGTTTTCATTTTCGCCAAATTGTGTTAAGCAGAAGTTAATGGAGTATCAGAGCCCAGGCCTACTTTTCTCGGTCTCGTTATCCTGCAATATATTTTAGCTTGCAACGTCACGGTTATGCAACTTTTCTGTTGTTTTTTTTCTCTGGTAATGGCTGTTTTTTTTCTCGGTGGCCGTTATATATATTGTTGTCTTCACACATTCTGTGTTCATTGCTACTACATGAAAGAGTTTGAAACCCGGAATTCGATGGCATTCTTAAAGCAGACAAAGCAAAATGGCGAGCAAGGACATCCATTCATTACATCTCCAGTCGATGTACAGACGTGCCCTCATAAACTCCCATGTGGAATGCCACATCGTATTAAGTTTGCAATGCAAGATTTAACCTTTGTGTCGTTTTCCCGCCAAAATGTCAATTAACATTTGTTTGTAATTTTCTAAATTCCAATGATGACAATTCTTGAATTCATGTCGCTTATACAATTATTAATGTAGAAATTCTTACGCCAGAATTCTCCCTCCTTCTAATGTTTTTTTTAGTGTTAGCGGTGAAATAGTTTTTATCGGGTTTATTTCCGCTTGAAAATTATCAAAATAAAAACATAATAAGAAAAAAAAAAGTCACATTTGATCAAGTTTTTTAGGCTTCGGGCTTTCACTGTTATTCCGTCTGACCTGATTAGAAAACTATGCTCCGTGTCCAAAATCTTGTGGTCATCACAGTGTTATGTCATCATTGTCACTAGGCGGGGCCAAATTGCATTTCTTTGATCGACTGACTGGTCATAGCAATGGCCGTTGCCATGGCACCGTGAAACACACATGTAAATAACGCATACAAGCCTGCGAACAGCGCTGAACACGGTGTACGTACTATTTTTGTCATGAATGCGTCACAGACTGTCTAGAGTTTAACAAACATGTGTTTCATTGCAACGACCTGCCGACAGTACGTAACCTCCGCGACGTAAAACGGTGTCGCATACCGCGGACGAAACCCAGACATGAACTCCACATTCCCACGGACGGATTTAACGTGCAATTGTCCCCCGTGCGTGTTTTGCAATACATTTCAAAACAGGACGGCCTTGGAGCTATGGTGGAGAGAGTGGTCTCTCAATAGGTCTGTGGGGCGGAAGTGCACGGTGAACAAAACTACTGCTACTTATGCGTTGATGACACACTTGTTTTATTGTCACCTGTTCGGGCTGTTGACGAAATTAACGGTTTATGATACACTAGAGTCTTTGCGACAGCGACAACAAAATGACATCCCGGCAAAATACACATGGTTTAAACATGGAGCTCTTTGGTATAAACACCGACATCCACAAATTACAAAATAGACGCAATTAACGGGGCTTTATAATGAACCTGTCACTTCTGTATTGTGTCCGGGTAACAGTCACACACAATGGTTACCAACGTGAGGCCTGGAAAGTACCGCGAGCCTGAGAGGCCGGGTGCATTTCAACATTCTTATTTGGTTTTGATCGTATCAGTCGGCAACTTTAATTCAGTCGTCGCCAGCCTCTCACTAGCGGATTCCACGGTCGCGATCTATATAATACAATTTGACAGGAAATTGATCTCCACCGTCGAGTTCACAAAAACACGGACCTGGTCAGCTGTGCGTGTAATGTGCTGATGAGGATCGAAAAAAAACAAAAACACGCCGACTAAATAATTGAAATAATTATAAAAATGTAAAATTATACATTGTCGCCAAGCATATGAGAATAACATTTTGACATCCCCCCATTGACATCTTATTTTCCGCTCAGAACATGGACTAGACTAATGCAAATTTCACCTTGACCCGAGCTTTGTGGTACCTTGCCGATTAACCTACATGTAGGTCATTATTTCATATATATATACGTCTGTATAAATATTTAAAAAAATAAAAGTTTACCATACGCGACACAGTGGCAGGCATGGAAAACATTCTAGTAAATCAAGTGAAGATACTGCCCGTTCTCAGATATTATCACGATATATGTATCGTGAAATATAAAAACCAAATATATTGCGTTTTATCCATCATCTAAATTACCCCCCCCCCCTCTAACATTAAGACCTCGTATAATTCAAGTTAATAACCTAACCTTAAGGTATTATTTCCCAGTAATCCACTGTTCGGTCTGTGAAATGAGAAGTATGTTTTTGAAACTTGAAATAATAAAACATTAAGCGTTGATTACTCGCAACTTGAACTCAAGTTTAATTTATACCTTTTAGTATGTCTGTGCTAGCAAACAAGTATTATATGCGATGTATGAACCTTAAGTAACCTAAGATTTTCAAATTTTCAGAAGATGAGACTTTGCGGGTAAGCATTAAAATGAGAGTAACCAACTAATTAAAGGAACTATGATTCTCTGTACGATTGATTGATTGATTATTGATTGATTATTGATTGATTGATTGATTGATTGATTATTTATTTATTTATTTATTTATTTATTTATTTATTTATTTACTTATTTGTTTATTTATTTATTTATAGTTAGTTAGTTGTGAACCTCCCATTGCATAATAATATAAAACTGCTATCACTATGGAAATTCGTGGCAGTCACTTTTCTGAGATTATTTTTAAATATTCAGATTTGTATAAATAAATAATATGAGGTTATTACGAAATTACCTCGAAGTTTGCACGAAGACAGTACAGCTGGAGTAACGACTGACGCGCAGCGGAGTTCCATGCTCGGCGACGTGCATCTTTTTCTTCCAATGATACACCATGGGAATGCCGAAATCCAAAATGTTTAGAACAGAATCAGCGAACTTTTTTGTGTGGAGTCCGGTCAAACTCTAGTGGCAGCC